TTTGTTGGTTCATAAAACTTTTTTTGGTATTTTTTCTTATTTTTTTTTATTATTTTGAGACACTTTTAATTGTTTAAAGCAAAGAAAACATTAAAATTTGAGGTTTTTCTCACTTTTTCGGCTAAGTCCACAAAAAATTGGGCATTTTTAACGGTTAAATAATTACCTTGAAGCTAATGATTCGATAAGTAGAGATGTTGACTGCTGCATTCCAAAACATACAAAGCTGTTATTATCGTGAAAGCCTACGTTAGTTATTTCCAATATTTCGTCGATAATAACAGGTGTTTGATTAATAGTGATTTTTTTAATTCTGCTAATAAATATATAACAAACTCCAATGGATTAACCCAATAAATTCCCCGCATTAAATGTGTTATCTGTACCAAATAAAAACAAAACACATAATCCGTTTACTTGCCCACTCTCTTTAATGGAATTGGCATCGATTAACTTTTTCTGTTTACAAGCCAATTCGTACAATTCATTATCAGGCGTTAACATTTCCTGGATAAACATCGAGTATATTGATTTTTCGAATAAAATAACAGTATATGCTTTTTATTCCAATGTCCTTACAGTTTATTAAAAAGCAAATAAGACGGTATTGTTTAATTCCTGTGCATCAACTTGTTGACTGACTGTCTTAAATGTTAACGTCTGCTTTATTTGCAAATGCTATATTTAGATTATTTAGAATTAAACACAGTAGACACACATCTCAAATGATTAATTAACCTTGTCTAATATTAAAATTTTAAACTTTGTATATTTTATTGTGTAAATATAAAATTTTCATCTAGAAGATTGACACAATCTAAAAATTAGTATGTACTCTTTTTCTCAAAAAGCAGTTATAAAATAAAATACATCAAGAATAAAATATGCCTTTTAAAACAAAAAATTATGTAAAGATTACTAGACCAGAAAATGAGCCCATTAATTGATCAAAACGTGATCGATATAAAGGTTAGAGGAAATTTTCACATTTGGTCCCAGTGAAGATAGCCTCAAATGAGTTTGACAGAAGGAATTATTGGTGTTTGGCAGTGTTGAAATTTACATTACAAATGAAATATATGCAATCAAAAGCAGTAAGATATTTAAAAATTAATACTTTAGAATTACCAAAAAAGAAAGAGTAAATAATTTTAAAACAGTTTTTAAAAGTAAATAGTAAAATGTCAGTATAAATAATAAAGTTAAAAAGACATCTGTTGCAATCTGGCAAATGGTGGTTCTGTCTCTATTGCCAAATCTATCCACTAACCCATGATACTATGAATAACAAGATAGGATCTTCCCGTAGCACAAAATAGGTCGTGTTCGCGCATGCCGTCATTGGAGAGTAGAATTTGAATTCTTGTTAAAGTTAAATGGGATTTGTATGCATTCTGTGATGAAATTACTAGACGAAAATAAGTTACGAGGTTTAATAATTACAATAATCGTACACATAAGGATATCTTCAAACTATTTATTATAAGATTATTTATTGAAAACATACAAAAAACTGACATTTCGAACGTCAAACTCTCCAATGACGTCACGACTTATGCGCAATATCTTCTTGTCTTAGTATCATGCACTAACCTATCAAAGCGAAATTGTCAAAAAAAATTGTCAATTTAATGAAACAATACCAAGTACCGATTGAACCAGAGGTGGTGATCTAAAAACTGAGAAATATCGGATAAGCTGGAAGAAGTTCAAAATTTATAAACCAAATAAAATGTACTGAATCCCAGTTCTGACGAAAAAACTGTACTTTCATCCCAAAGACTGGAAGGGATTGTATTTGCGTTATATATTTATAAACAGAAAATATAATTTGAGCTTTAAAAGTCCCAAGAACAAGTTTGTTCAAAATGTTTATAGGCTAAGTGAACGGACTAAATACGAAAAAATGAACAATTCTAAATTAAAAACTAATACTGAAAAAATGGCCTGCACTTCGAGCGATAGCATTTTTCCAATTTCTTTCAGAAAACAGAGAAGACCTAGTTACTTTGTCGTTTGACTGCCAAAAAAATTTGGTCCTCCCCAAAGTTCCTGATTAAAGTGCTTATTATTCAAGGCAGCTTTATTTTTATAACTTTACTGTTGTTGAAGGTACCTCAACGTCTCCACTTCAAAAGAAAAGTAATTTCATACTGTTACAGTTCAAATTGATGCAACACTCAGAAGAAATGAGGATCTGTAGAGGATTAGACAGGGATGTGGGTATCACCACTTTTGTTTTAACATATATTCTGAAGAAATTTTCCAAAACACGCGCAATAATATCGAAGCGGGGTCACCGTTAACGGAAAATAATTAATAATTTAAGATATGCAGACGACACTGTGATCATAGCAACGAGTATAGAGGATCTACAACATCTTATCGAAAGCTTGAGTATAAATAGTGCTGAGATGGGAATTACTATAAACGCTAAAAAAACGAAGTACATGCTGATTACAAAAAGGCCACAAAATATACATCACCTATTGACAATAAATGGTAACGTGATAGAACAAGTAGAAAAATATCAGTATTTGGGAACTTTGATCAATGAAACCAATGATCATACTGTAGAAATAAACAGACGAATAGAGATTGCCAGATCAGCATTTATACGAATGAAGCCACTCCTAACGTGCAAAAATCTAAATTTGGAGATCAACTACGTACCATTCGCTGTTTATATATTTTCAATATTATTATATGGAGCTGAGACTTGGACATTAAAAAAATTTAATTTAAAAAGAATCGAGGCCTTCGAACTCTGGTTATACCGCAGAGTATTGAAAATATCATGGACTGATAGAATTACAAATAAAGAAGTACTGGAGAGGGTTGGTAAAGAAACAGAACTAATCACCACTATACAAACCAGAAAACTGGAATACCTAGGCCACGTGATGAGGGGACCAAAATATGAAATTTTGAGACTGATAATACAGGGAAAGATTCAAGGAAGAAGATCTGTTGGCCGAAGGCAGAACTCATGGTTAAAGAATCTACGTGATTGGTACCAATGCAGATCGATTGATTTGTTTAGAGCAGCAAGTTCTAAAATAAAAATAGCCATTATGATTGCCAACCTCCGTAGGGAGACGGCACTCTAAGAAGAAGATACTGTTAGAGTGAGGATCAAATGAAATTTCCTCTGAAATCTTCATCGACTCAATGACACTGATTTTGGTAACATGTCAAAAAAGATAGGACTGATCGCCGATGGATGCAGTGGACCAAAATAAAAAGTCGATAATGATTGGCATGTGCTGAAAATGGCTAGACGAGAGCGCACCACCAAATGTTAAATTACTTGAGTTAGTTTTTCCTGTAGTTGGTCACTCATTCTTACCATCTGATAAAGTTATCGGTCAAATTGAGAAGAATTTACAAAAACGAGAAGTAGTAACGACACCTGGCGAATACAAGGAAATTATTTACGAATCTGTAAAGGTCGTTGATATGAAACAAAGCTATGTTTACGATTGGAAGTCTGCTGTTCAAGAGGTTCTTAAACCAGTAGGAGCATGGGGTTTTCAGTTTGAGGAATGTAAAAGGTACATTTTAAAACGATGTAGGATCTCTTGTAAATATCACACGAAAAGGCAAACAGATTAGCATTATGAATCCAGAAGAACTTATCCCCAATGCTCACAAAGTAAATAATTTAAAACTGATGTGCGAAATCTTTTGACCAAATATTTTGATTTACACTGGACACAACTCAATCTGCTTAACTACTATAAAGAGCTTTTTCAACGAGAACTACTTGGAGAATCCTGTTCCAGAGTTAGAGTCTGTCGAAACCTGTGAATATATACCCGAACTTTCGGATATTTTAGTTTAAGTGATATGTATATCCATTATTTACATATAACATTATTGTTCAACATATATTTAAATATATTTTTTTTCACTAATTAACTGACACAATGATGTTTTATTAGTTTCATTGCAAACAAAAACGGCAATCTCCAAACTAAAATATTAAAAAAATGGAAAAGAAATCATTTCTTAAGCTCCTCTCTCTGGACATCCGATCACAAACCAAATTTTATATCATTATTCATCAGTTTTATTGTTTTAATTTAATTTTGTTGTTGATCTGGATTTGGGTGGGCAAGCGCTGCAGTTTGAGGAACTCGTGAACGAAAATTATGGCAAGATTCATCGAGCAAGAGAAATGATATAAACGTTTTGTTAACGAATTCAGTTATTTTAAGTTGATTGTAATAGTGTAAATTGAAATAATAAAAGTAAAATCTGCACTTGAATCTTTTTAGTTTAATCACATTAATTTCGAGTGAAATCAACGACATTGTAGTTTCTAGCTTTTCGCGGTTTCCCAAAATTATGGAAATGGGAGACTGCCGACTTTGATTTTACACCCCTTAATAATATATCAGAGTTGCATATAGCATATACAAAAATACCAATGTAAGTAGTATAGGAAAAATAAGGAGAGCCTTATGCATGATCCGAGCAAGGGATGGCGCCACTACTCTCGCCGTACCGTACACTACGATGCCAGCTCTACCGATTCAGCAGTGTATCTACCGAAAATATCTAATTTTCTACTGATTTTGATTCTTCGGTACATTTTACTCCGAATGTACCGAATTTGGTACATTTTTCCTTTGTAATATCGTATCAAAGAAGAAACAAAACAAAAAGACTCCATACTAATGTTAGAAAATTGAAGTGAATAGCGATAATATCATCTCAATTGTAAATATGATCGCGATATAAATATTTTATATTATTATTTTATAAGATAGTGAAAAACCGAGATATCACAGGTGGCAATTCAAATGCGTACGAAAATCGAAGAAATCTATCTAGTACACTAATCATATTATCATTTCTTGGTGTACAGAGCGTATCGTAAACTATCTATTCCTTTTCCTATTAAAAGCAAAATAAAATTGAACACTGTGCATTATCATTTTAATGAACCTTGTAGAAGGCTAGATTTAGAGTAAAAAAATATTAATCAAACTTACCAATCTTTTTGCATTATCTGACAACACAGCCTTTTCTCCCATTTTGATTAAGGATTTCATGATATGGTAAAACTCTACCCTTTTATCATACCCTAACAATTTCAACGCTTCAAATTTCTTCTGTTCATCTTCTTTTTTCTTTTCGTCGACTTTTTTTCCAATGACCCTTTTAACATGGCACATCTTCTTACATGGAAATGTTCTACCTACCAAGCTCATAAACCTGAAATATTAAACAATATTAAAATGATTTGGAATTTTTTAGTAATTCTAGATTTGTTCGACAGTGAAAAAAGAAAGGATACATTTTATATATTAATTGTAAGGTCCCACTTGGTGTACTCTGCCAGGGCACCATAAGAAGAAGATTTTTGCATCTCCGAATAACAGTACAATTTCATTGCGGCTATTTACATTTTCAATGAGTTCTGATAAGGTTTCGTAGAATATTTGTTTATCTGTTTTTGATGCACTTTCTGATAGAGCATATTATATTCCAATGATCTCGAAATCGTATCCTTTCCTCGTAATATATATTCTAAATATTAATAGGTTATTCTAATATGTCTCATTCTTCTTCAAGTGCCGTCTTCGATCTAAACAGTTGGTAATTGGTGCAATTGTACCATTCTCTCAAGTTTTTCAACCATGAATGCCTTCTTCTTCCTATAGATCTCTTTCCCATTATCTTTCCCTGTATAATCAATTGCAGCAACTGGTATTTATCTCCCCTCATAACATGTCCCATCCATAATCTAAAAATTACTTTTACTCTTCTAGTGAAAGAATAGAATTGCGATCAGTCGATATTGTAATGGATCTCTCGGAGCTAGAACGTTGATCTTTTCCATTACACTTTTGAAATACCATATTAAGTGAAGTTTTTTTATTTTGATTTCGCAATGTTATCAGCTTCCTTATTTCCTGTGGTACTTGTATGAGACAGATCCCTTGTGAGACAAGTTGTTTATATGAGTTATGTATAGCTTGTACAAGTAGGATTTGAAAATAATTTGAGGATTTATAGGTAACTACTATGTAGGAAATTATTTATTTACCTGTTAGTACTTTCAATCTGATAACTTGGAGTCTTTGGTGGGAAATCATTGGTGGAGTCATCTTTGTTGTAGAATTCTGCGCTAGCAGCTTGAGCACGGGCAATGTCTAGTTTAAGGTCCCGTTCGGACCCTCTTAAGAGCTTCATTTGTCGTTTGTTAACACGTTTATTACCTAAAACTAAATATTAATAGTAAGTAAACAGTTTAATACCTGGTTTAAAAGTACATAGTGCATTTCTAATATGTAATAACTAATAATTTCTAGGTAGTTATACAATTTATTGTCCGTGGGGAGTTGTCTGTCTCCCATCAGACGCGTCCCCAGGTGGTGGATAGGGAACGCCCTAACCGGTCATAGGACTGGTGGGTAGTTGGGAAATAAAAATACCAACCGCGAACCAAAACAGACTAAGGTATGGCAACCCTAACAGAAAAGTCCCTGGCCCTCCAGGTTGTGGGTTGGGCTAGAGGCTGACAACCTTTTCCTGTAAAAAAATATATATTATGGAACCTCAGGAACTATTAGCTGGACGGAACTCAAAAACGACACTGAACCCAAATGCGAAAGTTTACAGTTGGACCAAGAAGCGCTGGAAGACCATAAGCTGGACGCACAGCACTAGGAGCATAAAAATAAAGGGTCAAGCTCATTGCTAGTCGAGAAGAAGAAGAACTCACGACGACCACAAACGAAAAATGGATAGATGGAACACGCCCGTACCAACTGGAGCAATCACATCTTTACTAGACATAGTGAACACATACAAAGTATATGTTTTAGCACTGCAGGAAATGCGGTGTACGGGAACTGGCACTCTTGACAAGAGAACCCATTTCATATAATATAGCTGCAATGAAAGCCAGCACATAGATGGGAGTGGGAAGCCGAAGAACAAAAGACCTAATTATTTACTTTAAAGCCTACAGTCAAAGAATGTGTTATGTGTGCTTGAAATGGGAAATTCTTTAATTAGAGTTTGATCAATTCACATACCCCAACTGATGATAAAACAGAGGAAATAAAAGAACAGTTCTTCAAAGGCCTAGAGCAAGCCTACAGGAGATGTACCAGAAATGACATTAAGATTGTATTAGGTAACATGAATGCAAGGCATTCTTTTAACATGTCCGAACCAGATTTAATTGTGTTTGTTTCTATGTCATCATTGATATTTTCGCTCCATTTTCATTTCGTTTCTTATTTGTTCGTTTCTAACACTCTCCAGTTTCGATCTACCGCAGCTTCGTCTCCATAATAATCATTTCTGTCGTCATAAGTGTTGTTTCTATTAGCTTTGGTGATGTCCCACACTTCCGAACGAAATGTAATACTTGGATTATACAACCGTAAATGTGTTTTTGGGTTTCTCGTCGAATTGTTTTTTGCAGAAAAGAAGTGTTTAAGGCAGGTCGCTGCTCTGCCCTTGTTTATTCTTTCCCTGATTTCATCTGCGCTATTTCTCTTCTTGTTGAAAATGACCCCAATATTTGCAGGATTGCACGCCTTTGATTTTGTCGTCTTCCAAGACTAGGTCACATATTTCTCTGTTCCCACTGAGAGATATTCACATTTTGTCATATTCATGTTTAGACCTGCCACGTCATATTGTTCTTGCAGTTTTCTTACATATAGCTAAGATCGTAGCTGTCCTTCGGCAAATTACTACCGGTCATCCGCAAAGAAAAGTGTAGATATGCGTTGTTGGAGAACTATAATCTCCAAACAAATAATATATATCAAAACAAATAATTCATTCGTAACAAATAAAATTTTCGTGCAGTTACATAATAAATCCAGTCTGCAGGACTTGTTTCTGGGAATGTTAGTCTCGCCCATGGCGCCTACTTGACCCTAGACCGGCCATTCAAAATGCATAAACAAAATATTTCGGCGGGCTAGGGGTCCGACAGTGATTACGGACAATGGTAGGGCTACACCTATCTTTCAAGTTCGGAGAGGTTTTCTCCACAATGCAAGTTACCAATAAGCTGGGAAGCCGTAAAATGTTAATAGTGGTATGGTGTTTTCGGGAAAGTGTAAATTGTAATTTCAAATTAAGTTCCTACGATAAGTTATACACTCACAGTTTATAAGTTCTATTTCTTGCCCTTTTTTCAATTACAGTTTCTCGCTAAACAAGCAATTGTTTTATTTCACTCTATATCAATTCAACAGACCAAATCAAAGCACCTTTAAAAGTCCATTTAAGTTTCTTTACTGAGCTGTCGAAGGCTAGCGGACTAATTGACCTTACAGCAAGTACAAAACCGCTGAAAGAGACACTGTTGGCATACAAGACTCTCCATGGAAGGGATGTTGAAAACCGGCATCCCTCCAAGCGTGTTTTCCTCCATCGTTATTCCCATGTTTCTACATTTTTTTACCTATTTCACTAAGGATCTGTCCAAATAGATTTTAAATAAGGTCGGTGACAGACAGCATCCTTGTCTTAGTCCCTTTGTTATTTGAAAAGAAGAGGTGATTTCTTGTCCCATTTTAATTCTTGCAAAGTTTTGTTCGTAGTATTTTTGAGTGGCGTTAATAAGAATTGGGTTTATTTTCAAGTTACCCACTTCTATCCATAGTTGGGAAATCGGTACACTGTCATATGGTATTTATAAAAAATAATTACCAAAAGCTTCTAGAATCTCAGAGAGTGAAAATCAGAGTCAAAGAGTCCAAAGATATGAAGTTGGACCTTTTTGGCTCAGACATTCAGTTGGCAAGAACGCTACTCTTTGACTTTCTCTGTTCAATGATTATTATTTATTTCTTTGGCCAATAAAATTGAAATTTCTTCATTTTGGCCAATTCTTCGCCTTGTATATTATATGCCTAATTTGTTATTGTTTAAGTTATTTGCATAATATATGGCACAAATATTTCTGTTATTACTATGAAAAAATAGATTTAAATATTTTCTTAGCGCACAATGTTTTAGGAATAGTTGTACATCATGACTAGCATGATAATCATTTTTGTACATATTATTTAACGGTTTTAGTTTGTATTACACTATTACACTAATTGGTAGTCATGCATATTCATTGTAAATAATATTTGAATAATTGTTTCAATTTCTCATAAGTTAATAATCTGAATTTGTTTCTTGATTTCTTATTTTCATCATTACAGAACTACTTATTAAAAGTAATCCTCTTTTCGCACATCTGGACAGTATCAGCCCATACATAATTGACATAGTTTACTTTAATAAAATTGAGTGTTTTAAAAGTTTATGAAACTTTAGATAACACTATTTATGTTTTTGTTAAAGGCAGGTTATCGCTACGAAGAAAATAATGAATGAATCGGGTAAATATATAAGATTAAATTCAAGGGAACTAAAAGTTACTCAAACACAACTTACTACGCTAGAAAATGATACAAAAATACTAATATAATATGTTACGAGCAAAGCCGAAATTGGACAATCCTAGCATTGTACGGAAATGGACCACAGGAGTGATGACGTAGCTTTTATTGACATCTGTCTGTTTCACTTTCCAAACAACCTTGTTTAGTGTGGATAATTTGTATTTTTAGTTATTTTTTCATTTATTTTATAGAATCTTTCGCTTTTTCTGCAATATTTAGTATTCTAATAGTTACTACAATTTTTACAAGGTTTGTTGTAAAGTAGGTAAAGCCATGGGGGGGGGGGGAGGGGGGGGGGGGGGGGGGGGGGGGGGGGGGGGGGGGGGGGGGGGGGGGGGGGGGGGGGGGGGGGGGGGGGGGGGGGGGGGGAGGGTGTGGGCGGAGGGGGGGGGTGGGGGGGTGTGGGTATGGGTAGGGGGGGGGGGGAGGGGGGATGTGGGGGGGTGGGGGGGGTCGGACGGGGGGGGGGGGGGGAGGGGGGGGGGGGGGGGGTTGGGGGGGGGGGGGGGGGGGGGGGGGGGGTTGGGGGGGGGGGGGGGTTGAGGGGGTGGGAGGGGGGGGGGGGGGGGGGGCGGGGGGGGGGGGGGGGGGGGGGGGGGGGGGGGGGGGGGGGGGGGGGGAGGGGGGGGGGGGGGGGGGGGGGGGGGGGGAGTGGGGTGGGGGGGGGGGGGGGGGGGGGGGGGGGGGGGGGGGGGGGGGGGGGGGGGGGGGGGGGGGGGGGGGGGGTGGGGGGGGGGGGGGGGGGGGGGGGGGGGGGGGGGGGGGGGGGGGGGGGGGGGGGGGGGGGGGGGGGGGGGGGGGGGGGGGGGGGGGGGGGGGGGGGGGGGGGGGGGGGGGGGGGGGGGGGGGGGGGGGGGGGGGGGGGGGGGGGGGGGGGGGGGGGGTGGGGGGGGGGGGGGGGGGGGGGGGGGGGGGGGGGGGGGGGGGGGGGGGGGGGGGGGGGGGGGGGGGGGGGGGGGGGGGGGGGGGGGGGGGGGGGGGGGGGGGGGGGGGGGGGGGGGGGGGGGGGGGGGGGGGGTTTGTCTTGGGTTGTGTTCGTTTGGGTTGTGGGTGGGGTTGGGTTGTGGGGGTTGTGGGGCGTGTGTGGTTGTGGGTGTGGGTGTGGGGGGGGGTGTTGTATTGTTGGGATAGTTTTTTAGGGTGATTTTGTGTTGGGGTGTGTGGTGTGTTTGGTGGTTTCCCCTAGTTGCTTGTGTTTTGATGGGGTGGGAGTTTTATTTGGGGTGTATGGAAGAGAGTCGTTGAATGTTCGGTTTGTTTTGGTTTGAGTTGTTGGTTTTGTTTGGGTTTTTTGTGTGTAGTTGTTTTGTTGGTTTTTTTGGGGGTGGATTGGTTGTAGGTTTTAGCGTTTTTTGTGTTTTGTTTGTGTTTTTTTGTGGTTTTATTTGGATTGTTGTTTCTGTTTGTTGTTTTTGTAATGGTTTGTTTTATTTTTTTATTTTTTTTTAAACCCCACCCCATACTATGGAGTTGATTTTTTATCTTGTGTTGTTTTTTTTTTTTTGTGTATGCTAATAGTTATAAAATGCATGTATCAATAAAGTAAGGTTAGTATATTCTTTAATTTAACTTTTAAACTATATTTCATAGAAATAGAACTCAGAATTATCGTAAAAAAATTAGTATGCTTACAAGAAAAAGCAGCAGAGGAAGCAAAATGTTAACTTTATCGATATTAAAAAGTCTTGAGATTTGACATTTCACCTTTTGTTGGAAAGTAATAATGACATGTGACAGTCGTGACGTCACACTTCTGCGGTCCATTAT